CAGTGTCAGCTCAGAGTCCTCATTATGAAACTCAATGAGGATGTAATCCATCTGGGCAGGAGATATAAACACAGAACAGTGCTTAACACATTCTGAGCTTTAGATCTTTCCTATCACTGTTTTTACCCCTTTAAGTTTGAAGATAATCAATCTTTTCCTTCAGGCAAATAGATCAAAAGTCACACCTCCAACAGTCCATCATATGTCAGAATCCCTTTGGTTCTATCAGAGCATACATCCAGATGTATCAAAGGACACATTCAAGACTCTAGTAAATGGTAGACAGCATTTATCAGAATAAAACGTAAAACCACTCTGGTGAAACCACTGATGGTTCTCTTTGCATTTAGGTACCATATGCCCTTCCTTACTCCACTGTAAGTACAGAGAGGAATCTGCTTTTTTGATTACTAAAACACAAGACTTAGCATATTAGAAAACATATTATACCTTTTAATTCCCTTCATAATTCTTAGAATTGCTAAGAAAGCAGGGCTAGAGATGTGGCTTTGATCAGGGAGAAGTCTGACCCTAGAGAGGTTAAAATCACAGGGCTTCAAATTAAAATTGTTGGAAAACTGAAACACAACAAAACAAAAAAGCTATAGTAGCATGAATGTAATCACTTAAACGAATGGACCAATTCCTTAAACAGAAAATATGACAACTCATTCAATATAAAACAAACAATCCAAAGAGTCTCATAACAATTAAGGAAACTAAACTTTTACTTTGAAACTCCCAATATAAAAATCTACAAGCCCCAATGGTTTCACTAGAGAATTCTACCAGATGCTTTAATGAAGAATCAACACCAATTCTATGCAATCTCTTCCAGAACACAGAAGAGAAGAAAACAGTCCCCAATTTATAGTATGTAGTCATTATTATCCCAAAACCAAAACTAGGGGGGAAAAGTTTTTTAAAAAATACAAAGCATTTTCTCTCATAAATATAGATGTAAACATTCCTATCCAATACAAGCAAAAGAGAGTGTAACAATAGATAAAAACATACATGACCAAATGGATTATTAGAGGGATACAACACTGGTTCAATATTTGAAAGGTCAATCTGCTTTTCTTTAACATGCTAAAGATAAAAAAAAAAAAAATCACATGATCACATCAATCAATGAAGAAAAAACATCTTAAAAAATTCAATACCTACTCATAATCCCAACTCTTAGAAAAATGGGAATACAGGGGAAATGTCCTCACATTGAATCTTTTAAATGTACAAAATACTCAAGCTAAGCTTACACTTAATAATAAAAGACTGTGTTCCTTCTAAGATTGGGAATAAATAAAGGAAGTTCACCCGTCATTCTTATTCAACACAGTACAGCAAGTTCTAGTCAGGGCAACTAAGGCTAGAAAAGGAAACATGAGAGATACAAATCAAAAAGAATGATATAAAATCACTTGTAGAAAACCCTAAGGAATCCACAAAATGACAGAACCAGTAAGCAAGTATAGAAAAGTGTCAAGATATAAGATAAACATACAAAAGTTAAACACATGGGGCTGGGGTGGAGCTTAGTGGAGGTGCAATGCAGTATGCACGAGTGAGGCACTGGTTTAATTGCCTGCACCATAAAAACATAATAACAATAATTTATAATCACTAAAACTAAACAACTTGATATGATTCTAAAAACATGTGTTAGACTTGTGCTCTTTTTTTTTTTTGGTACTGAGAATTCAACCCAGGACCCCAAGAATACTAGGCAAGCCAAATGCCACTATACTCCCAGGTATATCCCCAGTCAAGACTTGTGTACTGAAAAACTACACAATGATAATGAAAGAAACCAAAGATATAAATAAATGAAGAGACTTACTATGTTCATTTATTGGAAGACTAAACATAGAAAAGACGTCAGGTTTTGCTAAACTGAAATGCAGGTTTAATGTAATTCCTATCAAAATTCCAGCAATACCTTTTATAGACATAAATATTCTGAATCAGATTGTTCTAAAATTTATACAAAAGGTGAAATGAACTAGAACAGGTAAAACAATATTGGGGGGGAAATAAGAGAACTTAGTATGATTTCAAGACTTATTATACACTACAGTAATCAAGGTTGTGTGGTATTGGTAGAGAGATAAACAGCTCAAATGGAACAGAATAGAGAAGGGTCTAAAAATAGATGCTTTCAACTAAGTTGAGCTAATTTTTAATGAAAATAATAGAGGAAATATGACCTCTTCAACAAATGGTGCTAGAACAACCAGATATCCATAAGCAAAAATAAAAAAATTTAAAAATACCCTCAACCAAAATTTCACACCTTATATAAAAGTGAACTCAAAATAGATCATGGACTTAAATGTAAAATGTAAACTATAAAAGTTTTATTAAAAAAAATAGGAGAAATTATCAGAATTGAGAGCTAGGCAAAGATTTCTTAGACTTGATACCAAAAGTACAATCCATTATCAAGAAGCTACTGGAGGACCAGCTCTACTAACATGAGAAAGTAAAGCAAAAGAGGAAAAAAAGAAGGCAATGGGAATGCCTAGGAGATTTCAAGATGAGGTAGCCAGTCCTGACTCCATCAAGTCAGAAGACTGGGAGAGAAATCTTCAAATGATTAAAAACAGATATAATATTAAATATATCTAAATACTCAAAAAGTGATTTACATAACTTAGGAAGTTTTATTTTTACACTGTCAAAAGTAAAGAGAAAACTTAGATCAAAAGAGGAAAAATAAGATAATTATTAATTCTGGTAAAAAAAAGTTAAATGGGAAAGGTTTGGTAATCATAGTCTACTAGAAGATTGAGCAGGAATAGTTTTCTTATATAATAATGTAAAAACTAATACTAACATACCAACATACTGCCAAAATTTACTGGTATTTTGAAAGAAAGGGGCATGAAAATAATGTATTTAGGGAGAGGGCTATATAGGGGATGAAAGAGAGCTAAATCTTTACTTCCCACAGGTGATAAAATGGAGGGAAAAGCAATAGTAGCATGTTATTCTAAAATACATCAAAAGACTCAACTATTATGGTTACCTCTGGAACCCTAAAATGTCCTATGAGGATTTTATAGGGACTACTTGATTTTTTTTTCTTTTCTTTTTTCTTTTATAATCTCAGTTCAACTAATTGACTGTGTAAGCTTTTGAAAAATATAAACTGAACTAAAAACAAAACTGTAACAGCCAATGTATGACTGGGCCTGAACCTGAACCCATGTAAATTAATTCCTAATCAGGTCAGGTCCATTAATTTGTGGGTACTTGTGGGCCTGTGCTTCTTAGTTCCTCCTCTAGAATGCCTGGCCAGTATAGAGTAAGTCCTCAAACATGTTCCTAAATGATGGGAGAATGTGATTGCTTTTCTAATACAAGTAAATGAATGAGAAGAGCATCCTAAGCAGAAGAAAACAGCAAAGCAAAGAAAGTGGGTGAGCACTGAGCAAGCATACTGCAAGTAAGGGGAGGATGAGGAACAAGGTGAATATAGGAATGGTAACTTGAAGCTGCACAGCAGGGAACTAGAAGGAAATTGGCACCTTGCAGATGGATCCACATATCCACATGGTCTCGAGCCTCAGTGGGTGGGTGGCTTGGTCTGCAATGGTGGCAGTTCCTTCCCAAATAGTTTCAGCTTTCTAGAATCCAAAGTAGTGCCCAGCTCTCTAAAATCCTGAGTTCTGTAAGTAGCCCAACTGCAGTCCAACTAGTTACTCTAAGCTGCCACTGGGCGAGTAAACCCACAAGGGGTGGACAAAGGCAAGCAAAGCCTGGTGGAATGTACACACTAACAGCCCCATGCAGTTTTTGAAACTCTTTACAAAAATATTAAGATTCAGGATACAAAGGAATCATCTCTGGGTGAACATATGCATCTGCTCTTACCATTATTTATATATTCACTTCTTCTAAAATTTATTAAGACATTTATTCTATGTCAAGCAGTGTGTGGGAGTATAAAGTTTCTGATTTTAAGTAATTACTTTCTGATAGCAGAATGACTTAAAACATAACAGGTTAAGCAATATAATTAGTATAAACAAAAGTACTGTGGAACACAAAGGAAAAACAGACTACATATTTAAAGTTTTTTTTTTTTATTAAGCACAATGTCAAACCAAGGTAAAAGAAAGAGACTACTCTAACCTACTCCTGCAGCCATCACTCTGCTTTGATCATCAACTCATGACCAATCAATCTTGTTTTCTTCCAAACCAACTGATTGTTTTCAAGACATATTATTTCATCCAGAAGCACATAGGGAAATAGAGACTTTTTCTCTAAACAGAATATTCATCTGAATCTCGAAAAGTTAGTATGCTTTTTTAAAACTGAGGAATTATTAATGATAAATTGCAGATCTTAATATATTCAGTTGAGTTCTAATATTTATATACCCCTGTGTGACTACTACCTAAACAACAGATTTGCATGACCTAGAAAATTTTCATATGCCACTTCCTGGTCAATTTTATTTCTAGCACCATAGATCAATTTGGACTGTTCTTGGACTTTTACAAATGGAATCATATTTGTAAGGTTTCTACCTTACAAGCATTCCAGGTAGAAATAAATACATGTGCAAAATGTAAAGTAGTATAAGGATACGTTCATGGAGTGTTGAGGAGCCCAGATTGGGGATTGCTAACTGATAAAAGGACAAGACTAGAAGAGGAGGCTCACTGGAAAGTCAGGGTTTCCGGTTTGTATGCCACAAATGATTTCTGGGAAACAGGTTTATTAAATAAGCTTTTCCCAGGGCCCCAAACTACTTCTCTGATCTAAAAATTGTTCAGTTCTCTAATATGCTCCTTTCTCCTCAAATTCCAGCTGAGATGACCAAGGCAGGAACAGGGTTCTGTATCTCCTGGCTCTTCACTCCCACTTGTCCAGAGGCCTCTGCCATCTCAGAAAAGGGAACACACCCCCGTGGCTTTCTTATAAGAGGACACAGTCTCTACCCCCCATTTTAAGCCAGCAATCCCAGGTCCAAGGGGCAGCCTTACCATTATCTGGATTTCCCTCTTGCACACCTGGAGATCATGCTCATTGTTGACAAACATGCGTTTCAAGGCACATTTCATCCCATTGCTTGTCCTCACCAGAAAAACGATAGCAAATCCACCTGCGAGAGAAATACACATGTAAGCTCTTTTGAGTCATATTCAAAGAGCCATTCAGATGACTATTTGGCTGGAAGTTGGTACTGCTATCATTAATGGTACCAATGCCACCATCAGTCAGTCTTAAGGTTGGCCTGGCCTAAAAGGGTATTTGCCATGAGGTATTAGATGCTTAGAACTCAAGAAATATTATCTGTGGGACTCAGGAGCAAGAAATGTTCCTAACATGTATCTAGGGATCAAGGAAGAAAAGTAATTATCTTTCAAAGAGCCTACAAATAACCGATGAGTACACAGAGGAAGAAAAAAGACCTAACTACATTCTAACCTCCATCCTAAGCTTTCTGATACTCTTTTAATTCTTACCACAATCCTGAGGCTAGAKGTTATTTTTTCCTATGAAAACAAAGGCTCAAAGAGATTTGATTCAAATCAAGATTTATTTTTTACATGTAAGTCCAGTACTCTTTCCCTCTCAGAAAGGCTAGAAAGTTATTTCAATAATTGCTATTAAAAAGAGTTGTTGGGCTGGGATTGTGGCTCAGTGGTACAGCACTTGCATAGCATATGAGACACTGGGTTTAATTCTCATCACTATATATAAGCAAATAAATAAACAAAGGTCCATCAATAACTAATAAAGGTATTTAAAAAAAGAGTTGTCAAGTGAGCTGAGCATAGTGGCACAAGCCTATAATCCCAGCAACTCACAAGGCTGCAGCAAGAGAATCACAAGTCAGAGGCCAACCTCTGCAACTTAGTGAGACCCTGTCTCAAAATTAAAAATTAAAAAAGAGCTGGGGATGTAGCTCAGTGGTAGAGCACCCCTGGGTTCAATCCCCCATACTACATACATACACACACACACACACACATACACACACACACACACACACACTCACACACACACACAGCTGTTGATTTATTTCAAGAAATTTCAATTTCTTCTCACTTTTCCTCACTCCATCCCTAATTCAAATCTAACAGTAGACCTTGAGGATTCCTTCTGCCCTCCCTAATTTATGGGTAATTGAGAAGATCCAAGATACAGGTATAAGAGTGATATTCTACATAGCAGACATTAGGACTCAATTATTGGGAAGACTTTTTTAACATCTGCACTAACCCATCTCTAAAAGACAGTTTCCGGTTCATTAACAGAAATTTATATAACTCTAACAGGAATTTCCAAATGCTCTAAATTTCTTAGAGTGTAAAGTTCCACAAATTCTTAGAACTCCTAACCTCAACCTCACTCCTAAAGCACCATGAAGTGTTCTATGCCCTTATTAAGAGAATTATCTAGACAAGGTATGGCAAGACTATCAAAATCAAAGGCTTTGGAATGAGCAGCAGTTATACTGAACACTGCATCCATTGGCCTGCTTGAATACCTTCATCATTTGGCTTGCATATGTTGTCCATTTACTCTTGGCAGCAAAAAAAAATCACTAGGCTATTCTTTGTACAGAGCCAGTCACTAATTTGGTAGTGTGAACCCAGAGAAAACTCATCAGTATGGGAACTTGGCTGAGGTTATGATGTATTGAGGATGCAGCTCAGTGGAGCTGGGTGTTGGGGCTAGCAATCACCTGCAAATTTGTTGTAGATCAATAAATAGCTATTCTACAAAAATAAGTCTCAGGTGCCATTCTAATTCCTCTGAGGCTCAATGGCCCTTCAGTACCTGTCTATTAATGCCTATAGCATTTCCTATTTTATCTTTATAGTAATTACACTTTTTCAAATTAACTTGAGTAGGATTCTATTCCTCGAAACCAAAAAAGTCTTACTCAGAAGCACTGTTTTTGTTTTCATAAAACACACACATAATTCTTTGAAAGAACATTTTTAATGAAATTAGAGGTTCTAAATGTGCATTATGGTAGCAATCTACCAGAACCTGTACTTTTGTATACTTGCTGCCACTACCTTCTTTAACATTCAGATAAACATGAAATTTTATCATCCAGTCTTTAATTTTAAACACCATGTCTCTATTCCTGATATCTCAATACCACTTCCCATCTTCTTATCATACATTACTCATTATCAATTTTAATTCTAGAATTTTGAGTATTTGTTTATTATATGCAGTGCTGACAATAGAACYCAGTGCCTCACACATGCTAGGCAAGTGTTCTACCACTGAGCCATAACCTCAGCCCCCAAATTCCTAAATTCTAAGATGCATAATATTTATATTTTAATTTTTAGGGTATCAGAATTTGTCTTGTAATAAATATGTAATTTTAATGCAGCAGTAKTTATCTTCTTTTTCTCTCCCCAAAATTATTAAAACCATGATGTATATACTTTATTTTTTTTCTTTTCTACCAGTGATATTGGGGATTGGACCCAGGGCCTCATATGTACTCTATAAGTGCATCCCCAGCCTTTTTTCATTTTGAGACAGGGTCTTGCTAAGGTGCCCTAGCTGGCCTCGAACTTATGACCCTACTGCCTCAGCCTGCCAAGTATCTAGGGTTACAGGTATGTCCCACTGTCCCCAGACCCTGATGCATATTAGAACTAGGGAAAGTGGTAGTATAAATTATAAAATTTCTACTTATATTCATAATTGTTTTGTACATAGTYCAAGTGGGTATTCACTTGACAGATACTTTGGATACTTTAAAATATCATACACTACACACTCTCTACTAGTAGTACTCTTGGATAGCATTAAGTTCAAGAATTTTGCTAAATGGGTGGAGAAACCGAGTGAAGCTCAAGAGTCTCAAAGCAAGCTATAGGCAGAACCTACAGCAGTATCAGTCCCCTGACTGTCCAAAAACCATTATAGTTCATCTTTGGTAGAGAAAAAACATGTAATATCCTTTTAAGGAGACCTCTGACAATGCTGCAGAATAAAAAGTAGAAATGGTATTTCTTTATTGGACATGGTTAACCCCTTCATTTTACTGATAGCTAATGGAAATGACACAGACCATGTTCCATGAAGTTAAAGAGAACTTGCAAATTAACTCCAAAATGTACATATTAGTTCTTGCCTTTCTTGTCTGAAGAGCTGATGGGATATTCCCCCACCCAGTACCCATATATGACACATTTTAAAGGCATTTCAATGTGTGATGCCTGGAACCACTAAAGGACCTGTTTTTAGAAGGTAGATGATGCTGCAATTTGAGATAGTTGCCACCAGATGGGAGCAGTGCTGTAGCAGATGGGAACAGCATAGGTAGCAAGATGACCTTTCCAGCCAGAATGAGTGAAATGGGTCACCTACCACATAATCAGCAAGCACAACTTGTTGAGAAAAGACAGTCCAGAGTCTTGAAACCTATGACCATGATAAATATAAAAGCAAAGCAAAGAATTACTAATCCTAATATAGATGGAACCACATTATTAAGCATTTGTGCCTATAAAAGGGTAGTTTGTTTGTAAGTGAGAAGGATTTAAACCATGAGATCAAAATCAAAAGCTTAGTAGTATTTGTCACTCTTAAGATGCCAGTCACTTAACACCATGTAGTTGACCAAATAGAGGTGCAAACTATTTGCTTAGAAGATAGAGGGGAGACAACAGCATACAAGCTACTTCTTGGTCCAGGTTCACCACATGTATCAGGGTACTGACTCTCAGCCTGGATAGGATCCAAGCTACTGTAGAAGAGGCTGCCAACAGAGATGACTGAATAGAGGTGCTTATTTCAGACCCAGCTGCATCCCAAGATCTTGATTAAATAGAAAAACCCAAAGCTGCACAGAGGATGGTTTAAGCAGAGGTAARGAAATCTAACTGGCCTGTGCCAGTCTCTCTGCCTTTGGCATTCTGTGAAACACTATGATAACCTCATCCATGCATTTAATGAATCACAGAAGGAAAGGATTTGATCTACTAAGTGAAGCAAGGAGGATAATTTTGACACAGACACACTCTGCCTAGTAAATATGTAGGAATTTTTTTTTTTACTTACACAAAGAAATRTACTTTCTACCATTTTCCCTGAAATATATAGCAGGCTTGGTCTAACTTTCCCTCCTTAATTTTTTACAGAAATGTAGAAGGATATTTACAATTCACTATGAGTTTAAACATTTTGTCTGTTTGGTTCCCCTCTGGATCATCATACCCTAGAATAATACCTAACAAATAKCGAGTATTCAATAATGAATTAACTTTCTTAATCGATACTACACAGAACAGAAAAGGCAACAGAGTGTGGTGGATACTATGGGAAACTAATGAGCATGACCCATACAAAGGGATAGCTACTATGCARCTCCAAATTGTTATCATGTAAGAATGTTAACTCAGTTTTGTCAGCAACATTAATTTCTAAGTAAAAGCTGGAAACCCAAAATTTTATGTGAAACCTCCAGATTTAAACACTGGCAACAAGTCATGTTTTAAATTAATGCTGGAAAGGCCAACACTGCAAAGGCTAAAACAAACAAACAAACAAAAAAAATGAGCAAACCATATATCTTAAAAGCTTTAAGATTCTGAGCTTCTTGGGATTTCTACCTCTGATCTAGTCTAACCCCTTCATTTTACTGACAAAGAAAGGAAATGACACAGCCCACATTCCACAAAGTTAAAAGATAACTTGCAAATAAACTCCAAAATATACATATTAGTTCATCACTGGTTATTATAGTTCTTGCCTTTCTTGACTCAAAAGGAATAGCRCCTCCACTCATATGACTATTTTAAAAGCATTTCAAAATGAATTATTTCACTTATATTTTCACAATAACTGAATAAGGAAGGTAAGTGACCTATTGTCTCCATTTTTCCAATAAGAACAAGATGCAAAGAGCTAAGCTCTTTACACAAGAATACACAGAGCTAGTTGGTAGTAGAATTTGTACTAGAGTATTCATTCTTTTCAAGCTAACTTTACATACAACACAATATATCTGTTTTAAGTACAGTTTGAGTTTTCACAACTTTATACCCTCATAATTATCACACAAGTGATCTATCACTGCCAATAGTTTTTCATGCCCCTCTGCAGATAATCTCCCATCCT